GCGGCGATGGGAGATGATTATGATGAACTTTGGTATTGTTAAGAGAGTGATTATAACTTTGACTTTGACTATTCAAACTGTAAGCACATGAAGATTAGTACCACCAAATCTATGAACACTTAAAACGGTAACTTTCTAACCCACGAAGAAAAAACCTTCCAGGGATAGATGAACTACCATAAGAATCACCCAAATCCAGTCTCAACAGACTCTGGCAACAGTTCCTAAATTCATTTTATAACCGAAAGTCACCTAAGAACTGATGAAGTAACAGCTGCCATCAAATCGCTGGAAAACGGCAAGGCTGCTGAGAAACGTACAATCCGGCTTGGCATGCTGAAAGCTTTGGATTGCCGTAATATTTGGTGGCTCACTCGCATATGCAGATAGTAGCAATTCGGAAATAGCATTAAAGAGTAACGGAAATTTGAATCCGTATCCGGAAATTAAAATATGATATAAAAAACAATCTAGTAAATATAGAGACATCGTACTGCTCGGTCTTGCATATTTTGTACCACACTAGGCCACCCAACAGGGGTTATGGTATTCCCTTCTGAAAAAATGTATGCGATATGCTTACCACCATGAGGAACTCGTCGCTGGCGCAAAGGCAGCATATTGGATCCGCAGTCATCTAAATTTAGATAATCTTCAGTGAATATAGCATATTTATGATATATCATTGCATCGAATGCCGTTCAAAATGCCAGTATGAGTCAAGCGGGCTATATACGAGGAGATTCGTACTGCGCTTAAGGAAAGAAAATAAAGTTGATGAACTCTGAAGGTGGAGAAAGTTCTCTTGGATATAAAAGGTAGGTTGGTTCCAAAAAACAGAATATGCATGAGCTGAAGAATTCGCACTTTGAAATAGTTATTTTTCCACTTTCAAAACTGAACTAATCCCTTATTCAAAGCTACGTGTAAAAGCGTTAATTTGAGTTCCATGGATTTAAAGTGAAAGGTTGTCTCAGTTGAAAACATCGAAATAGCCATACAGAGTGACATTAAAACACCAACAAATGAGTATTTCCAATATTCCAGTATTTACAGAAGAAAAATATGCTACGTAAATTTTATGAATTGTATCGCAGAGGAAGTGGCATGGACAAAGGAGAAAGTACCTTAGGAAGCACGAAAGAATCAAATTTTCTGAAATTCCTTGCTTTATAGCCCCACAATTTCTCTGTGCATTGTCAAAGTACATTTGCCATCAATGACGTTATCAGTGAATTATTAAGTTTAACATATGCCGGCCTGTTGCAACTTACTGGGCCACTGAAGTACTTCCATGAATTTCAACATTGCAGTCATTAAGTATTCTGATATATTGTTCACGCATAAGAAATTGAGTTAAAGTAACGTGCTTTAAAGAGTTAACGAATGAAATGCTCTGGGTTCTGAAATGCAAATAATTGCCCTGCCATGCAGTTCCCTGG